CCAGCAGCTCCAGCACCAGCAGCACCTCCAGCAGCTCTAGAACCTCCAGCAGCACTAGCAGCACCTCCAGTAGCTTTAGTGCCTCCAGCAGCACCAGTAGCACCTCCAGCAGCACCAGTACCAGCAGCACCTCCAGCAGCTCCAGCACCAGCAGCACCTCCAGCAGCTCCAGAACCTCCAGTAGCAGTAGGGCCTCCAGCGTGCTGGACCTCAACACCAGGAGCTCCACTCCGGAGGCTGCAGCGCCGAGCGTACCACTCACGCAGCCGCTGAGGGGAGGGAGGCTCCGGCCGCGTCACTGCACCCGCAAGGCCACCAGCCCCAACTCCAGCAGACCCCACAGCTCCAGGAGCCCCACGACGGAGGCTGTAACGCTGGGAGTACCACTCACGCAGCTGCTGTGAAGAGGGAGCGCCAACAGGCGCAGTACGGTCAGTCTCAGAGCCTCCAGCCTCAGCTCCTCTAGGCTCAGCACCCCCAGTCGCAGCACCCCCAGGCTCACCACCCGCAGTCTCCGCACCCCCAGACTCAGCACCCCAGTCTCCGCACCCCCAGACCCAGCACCACCAGGCTCAGCACGCTCAGCACCTCGCGTAGGACCAGAGTCAACAGCTACCTTGACAGGCTCGACCGGGTCTACCTGGGAAACACCTGAGGGAGCAGCACCCTGGGGAGGGAGGGGGTCTACCGACGGGGCACCTGGGGTGAGGAAGAGCGGCGGGGGGGGGAGCGGGGCAGTGCGGTAGGGGAAGAGACGGTAAAAGGGTACCGACTCGTCAAAGGTGACGTCCTGAGAGGCGAAGACACGGCGCGAGGTGGGGTGGTAAAACTGCCAGCCAGGCGCGTCAGGGACAAAGCCAAGGAAGACACAGGGAACGGCACGGGAGGAGAGCTTGTCCGCGGACGTATCGCGGACAAAGGCTCGACATCCCCAGACTCGGAACACCGACGCATCGCCAACCTCCCCCGTCCAACGCAGGGTAGGCGAGGTCTCCGGAACAGAGACACGGGGCCAGAGGTTGAGCTGATGCGCGGCGTACTGCACTGCAAACGGCCACAGGAAATGGGGGGCAGCCGCATGGATCATGGAGGTACGAGCGACCTCCATGACTAAGCCAATGCGGCGCTCAGCAACCCCATTCTGCTGCGGAGAGGCCGGGAGAGTGAACGTCTGGCGGATGCCGTGCTCCGCACAGTAGGCTGCCAAGAGGTCAGAGGAAAACTCGCCACCTCTGTCAGAGTGCAGACGTAGGACAGGAAAGTCCGACTGGAACCGCTCGCGGAGCTGGAGACGAGCAGCGCGGATCCAGGGGATCAAGACATCAGGGACCTCACCCTTGGTACGCAAGGGGAAGACCGTGGTGTAGCGCGTGTAGTCGTCGACGACCAGCAGAAAGTACCGCTCGTGGCCCTGTCCCCGGACGCGGGCGGGGCCCCACACGTCCAGGTGGAGAGTCTGCAAGGGAGCCTCTGTGGGAGGGAACGAGGAAGAGTGAGGAGCGGCGCGCTGCCGCCCCTCGACACAGGGAAGACAGGGAGGAGCAGGCGAGGGTGGCAGGGGAGGGAGGACTCTGGGAAGACCAGAGACAAGGTACCTGGAGTGCATGCCGCGAAGGCGCTGCACTGACGGGTGACCAAGGCGGTGGTGCCAGAGGACAGTTCTGTGTGACAGGGAGCGGCACGAGCAGGGGGCCGACAGCTGACCTGACGCAGACGCAGACGCAGACGCAGCTACCTGAGGGGACTCAGTGGTCAGTGTGTACAAGTCCGACCCCGGCTGCCGAGTGAAGGTAGCCAGGTGACGACCCGTCGGGCACACGTGCAGTGCGTCACACGCTCGTAGGCCGGGGTGAACTGGTGAACACCCGCGTCCTGGAGCGCGGAACCCGCCACCAAGTTCGTAGAGAACGAGGGGAGGTAGAGGCCCGACAGTGTGCCAGACGGGACAGCAGGACAAGGGAGGGCAGTGGTGGAGGTCGCAAGGACCGGACCCCCTGAGGGGTCAGCCAGGGAGACAGCAACCGGTCTAGGAAGCTGCTCTAGGGCAGTGCGGTCGCGGAAGAAACAGTGGAAAGCACCTGAGTCCAGTGTGAAGGTGTGCAGTGCCTCAGTAGGTGCGGTACCAGCAGACGTAGACGCACTAGCACCTAGGGCAGCAGCCTCACCAGGACCTAGAGCAGCAGACGCGCTAGCACCTAGAGTTGCAGCCTCACTGGTCCCAATACCCGGGTCGGGCGGTACACTCAGGTAACAGTCACCTTCAACACTAATAGTCAATGCATACATAGCAGCAAGGATAGCATCGTAATCAAGAGCAAAGATATCAATCCCCTTCCTAAGCAGATGAGCCCAGCGGGGCAGCTCAGAGGCGTCAGGGAACTGCTCGCGCCAGGCGTCGTCGAGGCGAAAGAAACAGCGCTGCGCCGTGTGAAACTTCCCACAAGTCTGGCCAGTGCGGTCACCTGTGCGGATGACGTACGGGCAGGTACCTCCACCCCCAGACCCCCCACGCTGAGAGTACCACTCACGGAGCTGCTGGGGCGACGGGGGCTCGCTGGGGCGCTGCTGCTGCTGCCTCTGGCCGTCGCCGAACCCGCCACACTGCACCGCTCCACCGCGCCCTCCACCAGCTCCACTGCCGCCACCACTGCCACCACCACCACCTCCACCTCCACCACCGCCGCCTCCAGCACCCCCGGCTCCGCCACTGCCCCCCCCCACCACCAGCACCACTCCCACCACTGCCGCCACCGCCGCCGCCCCCTCCACCCCCTCCACCACCACCTCCCCCGCCGCTGCCTCCTCCACCCCGGCCCCCCTTGCCCCTGCCGCCCCTGCACCTCCCACTGGGAGCGAACGCAGCTCCGACCCCCTCAGCACCGAGGTAGTCGACAGCAGCAGCAGATGCAATGGAGGGGAGAAGGGGGGAGGGGGAACATCCCTCAAAGAAGGGAGTGCGAGGGTCGCCACGAGAGGCACCTACAGCTACAATGCTCTTCTCAGCTGCGAGGAGTTCCTTCTCGAGCAGGTCGACAGTGAGGTCTGTGGGGGAGAGAGCGAGAAAGTGGTCCCTGACAGCGCGAAGAGAGTCAGGGAGGCGAGTGACCAGGTGGTAGTGGGTGAGGTACATCGGGGGGGGGTTCTTGGCTAGGAAATCGGGGGGGAGTGCGGCACGGTAGTGGAGATCACTAGTACAGAGGTGAGTGATGAGGTCAGCTACAGTGGCAAAGGCAGACAGATCGGGGAAGAGGTAGGGCAATGAGAGACGGCCTATCGCAGCAGTGGCAGGGGAGGAGTAGCGGGCAACTACGGCGTCATACAGCTCCTTAGCGGTCTTATGCTGGCCGAAGTGCTCGCGCTCATCTAACGGCAGGTGGCTGCGAACGGCTAGGCGAGCATGGGCGTCACGAGTCTGCCACTGTGAGCGAGCAGTACTGTCAGCAGTAGCAGCAGGTGCGGGAGCAGCGCCGGACGTGTGGTCATAGAGGGAAACATCATCCTTGGCAGTGATCTGGAGGTACAGGTGAAGGTCATCAAGCCAGACATCGAACTTAATCGGGCGGCCCTCGGCGTCAAAGGTGAGAACAGTGGGACTGGCCATAGTGGCAGTAGCAGTAGTAGTAGTAGCAGTAGCAGTAGTAGCAGTAGCAGCACTGGCAGTAGCAACAGTAGAAGCAGTAGGAGCAGGAAGAGCAGTTGCTGCAGGTAGGGCGGCGCGGCTCGGTCAGGGCGGCGCGACTCGGGCGGCGCGACTCGGGCGGCGCGACTCGGGCGGCGCGGCTCGGGTAGGTATGGCGGCGCGACGGCGAGCCTATGCTCGGTGCGCGGCGGCGCCTAGGGTGCGGCTGCGCGCGGGCCGCGGCTGCGTTCGAGCGGCGGCTAAGCGCTAGCTGCAGCAGCCGATGCGCGATCGCCGCGGCGCGCTGGCTGCGACCTGCGGGCGGGCGGCTGTGGGTCGCGCGTCGGCCTAGGGGCGAGCGGGGCCTACGGGCAACGGCCTGCTGGGGCTCGCGAGAAAAAATCGGGCCGCCCTAGGCGGCGAATTTCCTACGCGCGCTAAAACGGCGGGGCCGCGCTCGGGCTGCTAGCGGGCTGCACACGGGCAGCGTGAGAGGAGAGCGCACGAGGGCGCACTAGGGGAGAGGCGCACGAGGGCGCTAAAAAAAAAGGGCGCACGAGGGCACCTCTAGCGGAACGGTGGGCCCTTAGGTCTAGAACCTAAGCTCTTAATACCATGTCAGAAACAAGAAGTGTTGAACTAGAAAGATGTTGGAGTACAAGTAGGAAACCCTAGTGAAATGTACCCCGTAAAGGCTAACCCACTGTAGCCTACACAACAGAAACATATATAATGTTTGACAATGGGTTCCAAATGTGTGAATCAGCTGCAGATTTCCCTCCATTTCCATAATCACAAAGTTGCTGGTCAGGTAACTAACGAAAGGCGACTTCGCGGTTCGCACCATTGATCTGCTCCTCGCAAAGCCTGCGGTGCATGCGGCGGAACCAGCTACAGTACTCACTCGTTCCTACCTGGCAAAATTGTTTTTATCTCGCCCAGTGCTCTCGAAACCGATTTGTGAAGGCCGCCTCTTACGGTATCGTTTCCTGGAAGCACTCCTCTTCACCGCCTTCTTCTACCACCACTCCCGCAATTTCCCAGGCCGACTCTGATCATTTTCTGTATTGGTCACCATCAACCGTTTCCCTTGTGAGATTACCACTCCATTAAATCTCTGCGATTCAGGACCAAAGTAATGACTTGGACAGCGCGAAGTGCGGCTGTGCCGCTGTTGCTGTTGACGCTCCTTCTGGCGTCAGCACATGTCAGTCCTCGTAAATAAAGCGTTTCTGGTTCTCTCGACGTTCTCGCCTTCTGGCTTCCAGCGAGCGCCCATTTTTATGTGTGTCTAGCAAAAACTTATTGGACTAAAATATTGCGCAAGGCGCTTGAACATGGTAGAGCACATGGCTGTACTCGGCGAGCATCATTTTCCGCAATGCCTCTCATTTCCGATCACCTTCCGATCCTGCATGATCTTCCTTCATCTGCTCAAGCCGTTACTCTCCGCGCAGCGTACTCGCGGTTCGTCTCCCATCGGCGCAGTCTGGCCCTCAGGGCCCTCTCCCTCCTCAAGTCCGCCTCCTCCTCGTCAACGCAAATGGAAATCGTCGACGCGACGGCGGATTCCGTCCAGGTGCCAACGACCGCCTTGAAATTGGAAGACCTGATTGGTCCCGGCGACTTGAGAATCGGTAGCATTGGCGAGGGTAACCTTTCGGGCCCCCTGACCGGAGGAGGAGATGATGGCGTGGTAACCCTCGTGAGCGGCGGACTTACGGCCCCTCTGCCTCCGCCTTCGCCTCCACCTCCGTCTCCGCCTCTGCCTTCGCCTCCGCCTCCGTCTCCGCCTCCGCCTTCGCCTCCGCCTCCGTCTCCGCCTCCGTCTCCGCCTCCGCCTCCACCTCCCAGCGGGGAGAAGCAGGGTCCCCCTGCGGGCGGAGACCAGCAAGGTCCCCCCGCCGGCGGGGAGACGAAAGGTCCCCCTGCGGGCGCAGACCAGCAAGGTCCCCCTACGGGTCCCCCAGCGGGCGGAGACCACCAGGGCACTCCTGCATGCGGAAATGGTGCGCCATCAAGCTGTTGGAGGTTGAGTGTGGTTGAAGCAAGTGGTGGTGGGGTGGTTGTATGCCCCCAACCCACTGAATGTGTTGCTTCTACTTGACTTCACTGCAGGTTCTGTGAAGTTGCATATTGACTTCGAGAGACTTGCATTTCGGTGCCACATGGCAGCACAAGAAGAATCGAGACTCAGGGAGAATTCGATTCGGTGAAATTCGAGAGTCGAATTTCACCCCTTCGAAATGTTACTCGAACATTCGAGTGTACCGCGGTTCGAGGTTACATGTGCGGCTCGATGTTGATTGGATGCTATAAAACTAGTTGCTTTGTATTGCATGCATCATACTGAAAACCTGAATCACTTTGTATGTGATACACTCGACTACAAAATCCAGAGAGCTCCTATCCTTTGTTCTAAGAGCACTAGCAAGCACATAAACGCCTATAACTCTCTCGTTACTTAGGCAAATCGCGTGTTTGACGGCTCGTTGGAAAGCCAGCAGTGTGCTCTATCGTTTAGAACATTTCCCAGTTCCTGCAAAGTAGAGGAGAGTCCTCTACAACCAGGGCTGACTATTCAAAAAAATCCAGTCTGATGTTCTGGGGGCTCTGAAAATTTTTAGTCTGAGGCATATTTCCCAGAGAATGGCCACTCTGAATTTTCAGGTTCCGCAAAAACACAAGTCTGAAGTACTCAGAACACACTACAACCACTGCAGTACAGTACTGCCACAAATGTAGCACGTGGGGCGCAACGCTAACCAATTTCCCTCGCTGACACCGCGTAGCTGCAGTGATGGTCCCGCGTGAGTGGAAGAGTGAGCCAAGTTGGCAGATTTCTAAGGGAAAAGGGTGGCAAAAGTTGCCAAGGACAGATTCTGCGCGTGACAGCGCCATGAAGTGTGTTCGTACACTGGCAACATATGACGTAGCGGAATGTACGTAGAAATCACAGATCCGCATTTCAGGATCCGTACTCCCTGTAGTATGAAGACCCATTATCGGCTAAGTCAGTACTCTGAAAATCTCAGGATCCAAAACCAAGTAAGTCTGAGGCACTCATGTTTGAAAATCTTACAAGTCTGAAAAATCAAGATCCGTAGGAAAATACCCTGAGATTTCAGACAATCAGACTATTTTAGTCTGATAAAGTCAGCCCTGTCTACAACACAAGCGGACCACAGAAGAGCCCTGGCGGAAAGGTTGGTAAGGGCGGGAAGGGTGGCAAGGGCGGAAAGGGCATAAAGGGAGGCAAGGGGGGGAAGGGAGGAAAGGGCGGCGGAATAGGGTCTGGCGCACCCTCTGGCGCGCCTGGCGGGGGTGCTGGCTCTGGTGCTCCCTCTGGCGCGCCTGGTGGGGGTAGTGGTTCCAGCGCGCCTGGCGGGGGTGGCTCTGGCGCACCCTCTGGCGCACCTGGCGGGGGTACTGTCTCTGGCGCGTCTGGGGGCGGAGCTGGCTCTGGTGCCCCCACTGGCGCGCCTGGTGGCAGTACTGGTCGTTCTCCTAGTGGCGGCGGCAATTAAAGCTGACATTGGCGCTTGTGCTGGGCCTTTCACCTCACCGCTGGGTGGGGCTAACTGAAATAGGGGACAACGGATGATGGCTGCTGCTCATGGGATCATGTGTTGGTTTGGGATGTGGATGGCTGATGATGCAGAATGATGGAGATGTAGAAAATTGTTATGTATGTTTGTATGTTGTACAAGTAAGGGGGTACGTGTTATGAACTCTGTGTCTAGTGATTGGGATTAAGTGTTTCTTATGCCCTAATTCCTGCATTTATTTTACTGTATTGTTGATTTATCTTGGGAATCATAACAATTGAAACGCTAGAACAAGTTGGGTTATTTGGTGAATAATGAAACTACAACGGATACTTGTTTTCGTTACAGAATAAAACCGCTCTGGATGACTCCGTAGCGAGTATCCCCTGACAAAACCCCTTGCATTCCTCGGTTGTCCATTCAATTGCCGAGCAGGGAGCTTCGTCAGCAAGAAGTTCGCGTCGCTCCGCCACCACAACTCGCCAGCGCGTCGTTCTTCCCCGACGCAGCGATGGGCCCGCCTGGCGGCGATGCGGTAGCGGCGGCGGCGGAGAATACGAAGTGGCACAGCGCGCGAGAGAGGCAGACCGTCCTCGCCGTCGCTTCCGCCACCGCTGACGTCATCAGATCCCAGGGATTGTCGCCGTCACCCACGGCGTACTTTGCGGCGCTTATTTCGGCGTTGGAGACGGCGGAGTCTTTGAAATCCGCGGTTGAAATTCGAGGAGCGGCCGGCACGGGAGGATCTCGCAGCGTAAACCCCAAACCCTTCGATAAACCTGTGAACGGTCTGGATGCTGTCTTAGCGCTGCTGGATCTCGCGATCCCTCTCACGCCAGAGTCGATCGTACGGCTGAACGCAGCCCGGCTCCTGCCACTGCTAACTGCCGCCGTCGATCTTTGGGGGGCTACAAACGCAACCGGACCTACTAATAGCGCGGATAAGGTGGTAGGAGAAGAATTGATGGAGGAGGAGGACGAAGCTGGCAAAACGACAAAAGGCCCGGGCGGCAGTGTGGGCGGCACAGGGCAGGCGTGGGCGGAGGATCGGCGGAGGGTGGTTGCGGCGGCGGTGGATTGTCTGGGGTATGTGATTGCAGCGAGGGTTGCGGGCTGCGGCGACCCCAAGAACGCGTGGACGGCTGACGTGGCGGCGGGTTTTAAGGCGGTGTTGGATCACTCTGTAGCGAGTCAGCCGAAGGTGCGTTGCAATGGTCGGTTCTTGTCAGTTTCGAGTCGTTTTTTTAGTTCCTCTCCCCCCTTCTCTTCCTCCCTCCCCCCCAACAACCCCTCACCCCCACCCGAACCTTGCCGCGTAACGGCATCCTGCGTCTCACAACGGCAAGCTGAATTACTCGCATCATTGAGGGTTCGGGGTTTAACCATCTGATTCCACAATGCGGTCAGAGTTTTAGGGTTCGGGCTTCATATGGGCCAATGCCTCTTACTGTCCTCTCTCTAATCATCCCCGCTTCTCCCCCTTCCCTCCTACCCTTGCCCTGCACCCCCTGTTCTCCCCTCACATTTCCTGCCCTGCCCTGCTCCCCCTTCCCTTACCCTTCCCGGCCCTTGCCGCTGCACCTACCCCTGCCCCTCTCCCCTGCCCTTCCGCCCCCCCGGCCCCTCTCCGCCCTTCCCCCCCCCCCTCCACCCCAACTTTGCCCCCTCTTGTCCGCGTGCAGGTTCGCAGCGTGGCGCAATCCGCCCTCCTGAAGCTTCTCAGGACCTTCCGCGCCTCTCCCGCCGCCCTTGCCGCTGCCTCGACAGCACTCGTCGATTTCGCCGACGCCCTCATCGTCCGGGCGCTCGCTCCTTCCAAGCAGCTCGAACAGCCACGTCAGCAGCAGCAATCGTTACAAGAGGCAGCTGCGACGTCAGCGGCAGCAGTGCTCCGTTTCATCTCCTGCCTCCGCCCGCTGCTCCCGCTCCTCTCCCCTCCCTCCCTGCCACGTGTCACTCTCCGATTGGTCGAGCTTCTCGAGATTCGACACCCTCTTCTCGCCTGCCGTGTGCTGGACGCCCTCCACTCGCTTATGTCAGCTCCAGCCCCGGCCACGTCAGCTGCAACGTCACCCGTCTCTAAATCCCTCATTTCAGAGGTGGTGGCGCGACTGCTGAAGCAGGAGGGGGAGAGACAGGCGATGGGGGGAGGGGCGGGCGGCGGGTGGGGGGCAGGGGGCGGGGGAGGCGCAGGGGGGAGGGGGAAGACGGATGTAGCAGCGGTGCGTGCTCTGCTGGAGTGCGTGCGGGCGGCGTTGATTCGTCTGCATGCGATGGACGCTGAGGCGTGCGTCAGCCTGCTGCCGTCCACGTTCTTCACTCTCATTGGTCAGTTTAGCATGATTGTGCAACAGCATCACGGGTGTATGACCAAATAATGTCTTTAGGCTTTATGACTGTGGCCTCACTCCCATACATACTTACCTCCCTCCCTCTACCTACCTCTCTTCCCCCACCACCACGCCTCTCCCTCCCCTTTCCCACCACCAGACAACCTGGCGAGCGGGCACGAGGAGGTGGCATTCGCCACAGCGGACTGCCTCAAGGCGCTTATCTGCGCCTGCATATCCCTCTCCCACCTCCCTTCTCCCATCACCACCCCTCTCCCCCCTTCCCCTCCACCTTCTCCCCAAACCAGACAACCTGGCGAGTGGGCACGAGGAGGTGGCATTCGCCACAGCGGACTGCCTCAAGGCGCTTATCTCCTCCTGCCTCGACGACACTGCTGTCGCCGCCTCTGCTGGCCTCAGGGTGGTGCTTCAATTCAATGCAGTGCTCTGCTCTTCCCATCATCCCCACCCCCCCCTCATAAACCAGACAACCTGGCGAGCGGGCACGAGGAGGTGGCGTTCGCCACGGCGGACTGCCTCAAGGCTTTAATCTCCACCTGCCTCGACGATGCTGCTGTTGCTGCCTCTGCCGCTATCGTGCAGCAGCGCCAGGCACAGGAAGGCGCAGGGGGGGAAGCAGGGGGAGCAGGGGGAGGGGGAGGGAAGGGGAAAGCGCCGGTGGAGCGGGTGTGTGTGGCAGTGGAGCGGGCGCTGGGGTATCAGCTCCGTGCCTCGTGGGACCTGTCGTTGCTTCTTGTGGCTACCCTGTTCGATCGTATAGGTGAGTGTTCTTGCAAGGACGGACACGAGGGGAAGGGCAGTGAGGGAGAAAGGGTGTGGGTGGGGGTGGAGGGATTGGGGAAGGGGAAAGCGCCGGTGGAGCGAGTGTGTGTGGCGGTGGAGCGGGCGCTGGGGTATCAGCTCCGTGCCTCGTGGGACCTGTCTCTGCTTCTAGTTGCTACCCTCTTTGACCATATTGGTAAGTCGTTCATGCAACACGGGACGCGAGGGGAGCCGCTATGGGCCACTTCCATAGCGTTGAGCGGGCCCCCAACGCTTCCGCTATGGGCCCCCAATGCTTCCGCTATGGGCCACTTCCATAGCGTTGAGCGGGCCCCCAACGCTTCCGCAGCGCTACTGCCCGCTCAGCTCAACCACCCCTCCTTCTCTGCTTCCTTCATCCCATCTCTTCCTCGCCCCAACCCTCACCACGCTGGCCGATCTGCACGACTTCCCAGACACAGACACGGCCCATCGCAAGCACCTGCACGCTGCTCTCGGCGCTGCTTTTACCCCATGCCGCTCTGTCTCCCTCTACCCCCTCTTATGCCCCCCAAACGCAGGTCCCTCCTCCCACCTCTTCCTCGCCCCAACCCTCGTCACCCTTGCTGATCTGCACGACCTACCAGACACAGAGATGGCCCACCGCAAGCACCTGCACGCTGCTCTCGGCGCTGCTGTTGCCGCTATGGGCCCCTCCCGCTTCCTCTCCATCCTCCCTCTCGGCCTTGACCCTGAACCTGCTCCCGCACCTGCTGCCGGACCTACTGCCTCCGCAGCAGCAGCAGGAGTGGCAGCAGCAGCAGCGGCGGCGGCGGCCACTCCCGCGGCGCCACGTGTGTGGCTGCTGCCAATCCTGCGCCGCCACACGGCGGGCGAGTCGCTCTCCTTGGTCCTCACCGCCCTCCTCCCCCTCTCCCACCACCTCCTCCTTGCCGCCCAGCAAGCCCGCTCGCCCCAGGTCGACCGGCCAATCGCGGCCAAGCAGCTGGCGGCGCTGCGGGCGGCGGTGTGGTCGCTGCTGCCCGCTGTCGCCAGCCTGGCGCCGGACACTGCGCAGGTGGGGGGATACGGGTGGGAAGAGAGGAGGTGGGGGGCGGGAGAGACGTGGTGGGAGTTTTGAGGTGAGAGGGGGATGGTGGGTGGAGTAAGCAGGGGGGAGGTGATTGAGAGGAAGGGGCAGTTGGGGGAGGTGGGGAGGTGGGTGACTAGATTGGATTGAGGGATGGGAGTTTTTTTGACAGAAGCACTGCCGTCAAATCCTTACCTGATTTCCTTTCTTTCTCCCCCCTTTTTGGATGCTCCTCAACTGCATTGATTCGCATGCAGGTGTTTCCGCACTTAGCTAAGCACCTGGCGGAAGCAGTGGCAGCAGGAGGGAAGGGCGATGAGGGCGATGGAATCCGGTCTGCAGTCTGTGTCACCCTGCAGGTAAAGCAAGTCTTTAACGAGTCTCTTTTTTGTTTATCAAATTCTCTCTAGCCTGCGTTTTTTTAGTCGACTGGAAACTGGTCTGCAGTCCGTGTCACCCTGCAGGTAACGCAAGTCTCTCTCTCCAATCTGCTTTTGTTAGCTTACCACCCTCTGTGTCCCTCTCCAGACTAGTTTTTGCCCGCTCTGTGCCCATCTCCTCGTGTTTGAAGAAGTGTTTTGAGACGTCTCAAAGCTCGCACGTCGTCTCAAACACGTCGCTCTGTGCCCATCTCCTCGTGCAAACTCGCACCTTTCCCATCCCGTCACTTCCCCCCACCCACTCGTCACCTCCTCCCCTTCTTCCGATCTTCCCTCCCCCCTCGTCCCCTCTGTGCTCCGTTCCTTCCACCAGCTCATGGTGGACCAGAATCGCATGGCCATAAGTCGCGCGCCCCTCACCAAGTGCAAGAAAATACCCACATACCCATCCCCCTTCACCTCCTTCCCTCCTCTCCCCCCTACCCCCACCAGCTCATGGTGGATCAGAATCGCATGGCCATGGGTCGCCCGCCCCTCTCCAAGATCTAGCAACACCCAGCAACCCCCTTACCCTCCAACCGCCCCCATCCCTTCTCCCTCCCCTGTCCCTTCTCAGCTGATGGTGGATCAGAACCGCATGGCCATGGGTCGTCCGCCCCTCTCCAAGCGCCTCACAGCCTTTGATGGCCTCTCAGGTGCTCCCACCACCGCCCTTGCTGCTGCCATCACGGACAGTGCTGCTTCTGACTCTGCTGGAGCGGCTGCTGCTGCTCCCTCTGCAGCACCTGAAGCAGAAGCAGCGTTCCGGGCGGCCCTAGAGGACGACGACGACACCACCGATGCCGAGCGCCGCGCGTGGCGCCAGCTCACCGCTGACGTGGCAGCCGCCAACCTGGCGGCCATGTCAGGCTCGGCCCGTCCCTTCCTCCCGATGCTGTTTGACGCGTTCGTGGCGGCCCCATCAGCCAAGAGGGGCGAACTTCAGAGTGCCATCGGGGCTCTCGCTGCTGTGGCTGACCCGGCGGCCCTCCGACTGTTCTTCACGAATATCATGAGCAAACTGCTCTCCGCTACACACGCTGCTGCCTCTGGTGGTGCTGCTGCTGGTGCCGGCGCAGCAGCAGGAGCAGGGGATGTGAGCAAGGAAGCCGGAGAGAAGAGGTGAGTGGGGGGAATCTAGTGATCTTTACTCGCTGCTGTTGCTGACTCGGCGGCCCTTCGCCTGTTCTTCACGAATATCATGAGCAAACTGCTCTCCGCTACACACGCTGCTGCCTCTGGTGGTGCTGGTGCTGGTGCCGGCGCAGCAGCAGGAGCAGGGGATGCGAGCAAGGAAGCCGGAGAGAAGAGGTGAGTGGGGGGAATCTAGTGATCTTTACTCGCTGCTGTTGCTGACTCGGCGGCCCTTCGCCTGTTCTTCACGAATATCATGAGCAAACTGCTCTCCGCTACACACGCTGCTGCCTCTGGTGGTGCTGGTGCTGGTGCCGGCGCAGCAGCAGGAGCAGGGGATGCGAGCAAGGAAGCCGGAGAGAAGAGGTGAGTGGGGGGAATCTAGTGATCTTTACTCGCTGCTGTTGCTGACCCGGCGGCCCTTCGACTGTTCTTCACGAATATCATGAGCAAACTGCTCTCCGCTACACACGCTGCTGCCTCTGGTGGTGCTGGTGCGGGTGCAGCAGCAGGAGGAGATTCGAGCAAGGAAGCTGGCGAGAAGAGGTGAGTGTGTGCCCACTTCTTCACAAGTATCATGAGCAAACTGCTCTCGTGTGATGAGTCGACTCAAAAATCGACTCATCACACGAGGTCAGTGTGTTCACTTCGTCAAGAATATTATGACTGGTCAGTGTGAGCACTTCTTCACTCAGCAAACTGCTCTCCGCCACACACATTGCAGCCTCTGGTGGATTTATCTTCCTTCTCTGTCTCGCCCTCCCCTTTCCCCCAGGGCCATGCTCATGGATCTCTCGCTCTCCCTGCTGCCCAGCTTGGACGTGGAGTGCTGCCGTGCTCTACCCTACAACACACCTCACCCCCTCTTTCTCGCTCTCCCTCAACGTCCCCCCCCCTCTCGCGCCCCCTTCCCCCCTTGCACAGGGCCATGCTCATGGATCTCTCGCTCTCTCTGCTGCCCGGCTTGGACGTGGAGTGCTGCCGTGCGCTCTACAACGCAACGAGGCCCGCCATCCAGGAGAGTGTCATTGACATCCCGTCCGTGACCCCCCCTTCCCCCACCTCCCCTCCCCCCCCAAACTACCAGGGCCATGCTCATGGATCTCTCGCTCTCCCTGCTACCGGGCCTGGACGTGGAGTGCTGCCGTGCGCTCTACAACGCAACGAGGCCCGCCATCCAGGACAAGTCTGCTGCCGTGCAGAAGAAGGCTTACAAGCTCCTCGCATCACTGCTTGAGGTATGCATTGCCATGCCATTACCACCACCACCATCACCATCATCATCACCACCACCATCACTTCGCCATCCAGGACAAGTCTGCTGCCGTGCAGAAGAAAGCATACAAGCTGCTCGCATCGCTGCTTGAGGTATGCTCGTGTGACTTGTTGTGTCACATCAGATCAGCATGGGATGAGAGCATGGAAGCATGGAAGGATTTTCGACGTGCCTACCTAAGAAATCGAAGCAGAAGCATGGAAGCAGAAGCGCCAGGTGGGGAGGGCGTGTCAGCAAGGGCAGTATTTGCGGAGCTGCTGATGGGAATGGGTGCGTTGACCTCATGACGCTACCACATCCAGAGCGGCCCGCCTGTCTCCCCCTTCTTCCTGCCCTCACTTGTGCTTTCCCCATCCACACCTGCAGACACACCCAGAGCTCCTGAGCCAGCAATCAGAGGGAGGAGCAGCAGCAGCAGGGGGGGGCGTGTTGGCAAGGGCAGTGTTGCAGGAGCTGCTGGTGGGCGTAGGTGGGGTGCACTCGCCGTCTCGCCACTACCGCATCAAGAGCTGTCCATTTCCTTCCTCCCCCCCCCCCCCCCCACCCTCTCTCCCAGACACACCCAGAGCTCCTGAGCCAGCAATCCGAGGGCGTGGCAGGGGGAGCACCAGGCGGAGCAGCAGGGGGAGGCGTGCTAGCAAAGGCAGTGTTGGAGGAGCTGCTGATGGGCGTGGGTGGGGTGCACTCGCCGTCTCGCCACTACCGCATCAAGAGCCTCTCAGCCGTGCTGCTGCATCTGGCTCGCTCCAATGTTCCGGCGTTTCATGAAGCAGTGGCTGCCACACTCACTGAGATTGTGCTGTCCGTGAAAGAGGTGAGGTGATGGCTTGAACACACTATCTGATCCAAGAGCCTTCAAATCTCATTGTGCTGCTGCAACTCACGCTCTTCTCACACACTCCCTCTTTCTCCCTTCCCAGGTGAACCGCAAGGCCCGGGATGCAGCCTATCAGCTCGTCATAGCTCTCGCCAAGGAGATGCAGCGACTGGCAGACGAGCAGCACTGGCAGCAGCACCAGCGGCAAAACCTACTTCTGTCACACCCGCCCACTCTCTCCCCCCCAGGTGAACCGCAAGGCACGCGATGCAGCCTATCAGCTCATCATAGCTCTCGCCAAGGAGATGCAGCGACTGGCAGACGAGCAGCACTGGCAGCAGCACCAGCGGCAAAACCTACTTCTGTCACACCCAAGGTTCAAAATTACGGTTTTCGTAAAATACGGTCCGTTTTTTACGGTGATTTTTCAAAAAAACGGCCGTTTTTTTGTTAGAGATCTCTGTTCACCAAGAAAAAAAAAGAAAAAAACAAGGTCAAAAACATTTTCGATCATGCCAACAAGCGCATACATGCAAGAAGGGGTCCATCCCCTTCATGCTGCTGCATTTCGGGTTCAATTTGGTCCCAATAAGTGGCCGTTTTGTTAGTTATAGAGGAAACACATCCTGGAACCGTTTTAAACCGTTTTTTACGACCGTTTTTTACGGTACCGTTTTTTACGGTGAAATTTCAATAAAACGGTCGTTTTTTTGAACCCTGGTCACACCCGCCCACTCTCTCCCCCCCAGGTGAACCGCAAGGCACGCGACGCAGCCTATCAGCTCATCATAGCTCTCGCCAAGGAGATGCAGCGACTGGCAGACGAGCAGCACTGGCAGCAGCACCAGCGGCAAAACCTACTTCTGTCACACCCGCCCACTCTCTCCCCCCCAGGTGAACCGCAAGGCACGCGATGCAGCCTATCAGCTCATCATAGCTCTCGCCAAGGAGATGCAGCGACTGGCAGACGAGCAGCACTGGCAGCAGCACCAGCGGCAAAACCTACTTCTGTCACACCCGCCCACTCTCTCCCCCCCAGGTGAACCGCAAGGCACGCGACGCAGCCTATCAGCTCATCATAGCTCTCGCCAAGGAGATGCAGCGACTGGCAGACGAGCAGCACTGGCAGCAGCACCAGCGGCAAAACCTACTTCTGTCACACCCGCCCACTCTCTCCCCCCCAGGTGAACCGCAAGGCACGCGACGCAGCCTATCAGCTCATCATAGCTCTCGCCAAGGAGATGCAGCGACTGGCAGACGAGCAGCACTGGCAGCAGCACCAGCGGCAAAACCTACTTCTGTCACACCCGCCCACTCTCTCCCCCCCAGGTGAACCGCAAGGCACGCGATGCAGCCTATCAGCTCATCATAGCTCTCGCCAAGGAGATGCAGCGACTGGCAGACGAGCAGCACTGGCAGCAGCACCAGCGGCAAAACCTACTTCTGTCACACCCGCCCACTCTCTCCCCCCCAGGTGAACCGCAAGGCACGCGACGCAGCCTATCAGCTCATCATAGCTCTCGCCAAGGAGATGCAGCGACTGGCAGACGAGCAGCACTGGCAGCAGCACCAGCGGCAAAACCTACTTCTGTCACACCCGCCCACTCTCTCCCCCCCAGGTGAACCGCAAGGCACGCGACGCAGCCTATCAGCTCATCATAGCTCTCGCCAAGGAGATGCAGCGACTGGCAGACGAGCAGCACTGGCAGCAGCACCAGCGGCAAAACCTACTTCTGTCACACCCGCCCACTCTCTCCCCCCCAGGTGAACCGCAAGGCACGCGATGCAGCCTATCAGCTCATCATAGCTCTCGCCAAGGAGATGCAGCGACTGGCAGACGAGCAGCACTGGCAGCAGCACCAGCGGCAAAACCTACTTCTGTCACACCCGCCCACTCTCTCCCCCCCAGGTGAACCGCAAGGCACGCGACGCAGCCTATCAGCTCATCATAGCTCTCGCCAAGGAGATGCAGCGACTGGCAGACGAGCAGCACGAGCAGAAATTCTTGGCGGCTGGAGGGATCATGTACGGCGGTTTCAGTGGCGATCAGTCCATGGATGGTGCTGGTTCCGCTGATGATGATGATGCCGATTCGCCCTTCCTCAAGTTCTTCACCATGGTTCGTTCGTTCCCTCGTTTCTCGGAGTTCCTTTTCTCGATTCTGGGTCCCATTCTCTTTGTGCGCGAAAAAGCCGGAGACTTTTGAGTCGACTCACAAGTCAAGGCTGGTGCTCACAACCGTATGGTTCCCCCCCCTCTGCATCTGCTTGCCCCCTTTCCTTGCACCTATCTCAGGTGATGGCAGGGCTGGCCAGCAGCACCCCGCACGGGCAGAGCGCAGCAGTCATGGGCCTTGCTCGCTCGCCTCATTCCTGCACCCCATGTCATCGCCCATATATGCTTATGCTCCCTCCCTGCCCCTTTCCTTGCACCTCTCACAGGTGATGGCAGGGCTGGCCAGCAGCACTCCACACGGGCAGAGCGCAGCAGTCATGGTCCTCGCTCGCCTCATCTTCCACTTCTGCTCCTCGCTGCTCCACCTCGTGCCCTCGCTGCTCCTCTCGCCCCCTGCTCCCCTTTCTGCTCCCTTTGCTAATCTGATTTATGCCCCTCTCTTTAGCCTCCTTTTGCTCCTTGCTTGTGGTTTCTCCCTTTCACACACCCCTCTTCCAGGTGATGGCAGGGCTAGCCAGCAGCACCCCGCACGGCCAGAGCGCAGCAGTGATGGCCCTAGCTCGCCTCATCTTCCACTTCTCCTCCTCGCTCCTCCACCTCGTGCCCTCGCTCCTGCCATCGCGGCTCCCCTTGCTCCTCTGATTTATGCCCCTCCTTTCCCCTCCCTCTGATCTTTTTGCTTGCGGTTTCTCTCCCTCCCCCCCCCCCTCCCTCTCTTCCCCCCCTTTCTCCTCGGGTGTTTACAGGTGATGGCAGGGCTAGCCAGCAGCACCCCGCACGGCCAGAGCGCAGCAGTGATGGCCCTGGCTCGCCTCATCTTCCACTTCTCCTCCTCGCTGCTCCACCTCGTCCCCTCGCTCCTCCCGTCCCTCCTCCTCCTCTTCCGCTCGCCGCACCGCGATGTGCTCAAGGCGTGTCTGGGCCTGGTGAAGGTGCTATCTGTGCGCCTGGAAACTGCTGACCTGGAGGCTCACCTGCCGGCGATCATGAGTGCTCTGCTGTGCACGAATGAAATCGTTGCAACCAGGTTCAAGGCCAAGGTATGATAATGAATGCTCAAGGCGTGTCTGGGCCTGGTGAAATGCAATTTGGTTCAAGGCCAAGGTAATGATATGGAGTGGAATGCTTTGAGACGTCTCAAAAGACTTCTTCAAACACGTGAAATGCAACCCGGTTCAAGGCCAAGGTAATGACATGGAGTGGAATGCTCAAGCGCTGCTCCCTGCTCCCTGCTGCCTGCTGCCTTCACCCTGCTCCCTGCTGCCTGCTGCCTGCTGCCTTCACCCTGCTGCCTTCACCCTGCTGCCTGCTTACTGTCAGCCCTACCCACTTTCTATCCCTTCCCCACCCTCCCCCCTCACTCCCGTCCCCCCTTCAGGTGCGCAAGATAGTGCAGCGGCTGGCGAGGCGATGCGGCCATGCGACGGTGGCAGCAGTGGTGCCGGAGGAGCATCAGCGCCTGCTCACGCACATCCGCAAGGTAAGTCAAGGCAGAAGGGTGAAACTCAAGGCTAGTATGTGTGCTTGCATGTGCTGTCGCCTTGCCATGCCACGGTAGCAGCAGTGGCGCCGGAGGAGCATCAGCGCCTGCTCACGCACATCCGCAAGGTGGGTGGGACAGGAGGCAAACAGGTGGCACTTCAGGCTAGTATGCGTGCATGTACATGTGCTGCTGCCGCCCTGCCATGCCATGCCACGGTGGCAGCAGTGGTGCCGGAGGAGCATCAGCGCCTGCTCACTCACATCCGCAAGGTGGGTGGGTCTCTTTCAGGGCGGACAGGTGAGTCTCAGGGCTAGTATCCTTCTATGTGCTGCTGCCGCCCTGCCGTGCAACGGTGGCGAGGTGACTTTTGAGTCGACTCAAAAGTCACCTCAAGGCTAGTATCCTTCCGTGTGTTGCTGCCGCCCTGCCGTGCAACGGTGGCCGGAGCAAAGGGGGGGAAAGATGGACAGGTGCCTTGGCTACTCACTCATTTCCTCCTCGTGTTCCCCCGTCGGGTTCCCCTTGTGTGCTGCACCGTTTCAACCCTATTCTGTGGCAGGAGGTGGCCCGAGAAGCCAAGGCTAAGGAGAAGAAGCGTGGTGGAACGGGGGCAAAGGGTGGGCTGGGGGGCGGATTGTTGTAACACTCTCTCATTTGCCCCTCGTTCCTCCTTCCTCTCTCCTGTTGCAGGAGGTGGCCCGAGCAGCCAAAGCCAAGGAGAAGAAGCGCGGAGGAGCGGGGGCGAAGGGCTCGCAGGCAGAGGATGGGGAGGAGGGCGGTGACGGGCGGTCGACCATGTCGGGCAGAAGCAGGGCGAGGTGAGTGGTGTGAGAGCGCTGCTAGGGGTTTCTGGGGGTGAGTGATGGAGGAAGGGGGGCTTGCAGGCAGGGGACGGGGAGGAGGGGGGAGACGGGCGGTCGACCATGTCGGGCAGAAGCAGGGCGAGGTGAGTGCTGGGGTGCTGGGGTGGTTGGGGGTGATGAGGGGCAATGGGGGCTCGCAGGCAGGGGACGGGGAGGAGGGCGGTGACGGGCAATCAACCATGTCGGGCAGAAGCAGGGCGAGGTGAGTGGTGTGGTGTAGGGTTCCCGTGGGGGGGGGGTTGGGAGTGAGGGGGCGAGGAGGGGGCAATTCTGTCCTCCCCATGCATTGGTCTTAACTCTTTTCCCCCTCCGCTTGTACCCTCTTACCTCTTCCCTCTCATTTTACCCTGTGCCGCAGAACGAGCGACTGGAGCCACTCCAACCTCTTTTCCGACACGTCAGCGGACGGCGATTTCAGCGATGACGAGGATTACGGCGATGCTGACGAGGACGAACGCAGCGTGTTCGGCGGCAAATCACGCGCCGCCAAGTCAGCATCCCGCCAGGACGGGTCAAAAAAGTATGCGTGGTCGAACGCGCTCTCGTCCAGGTGTGCTGACGTGGCATGGGGTGTGGCATGGGGTGGGGAATGGGGTGTGGCATGGGGTGGGCAATGGGTTGGGGTATGTGGTGTAGTTCTGTAGGTGTGGGTTCTTCTCTTCTCTTGGCAATTGCAGCTGATGGCAATGTATGTTGTATGCCGGCCCATCTCTCCCAGTGCAATACTGCTTCCTGTGCTTTCTCTTTCTCCCATTCCGCCTTGCTGCCCCACACCTTGCATACTCCCACCCACACCACTCCTACCCTTTCCCGCTCCCTACGGCAAGAAGGCGCAGCACAGCAGGCTGCAGCTGCACAAAAGCAGTTGTTTTGGTCTTCTCTACGTGCTCTGTCACTGCCTCATCTCACACTCTCTCCCCTCTCCCACACTCACCTCCCCTCCCCCCCCCTCCTGCAGGGTGGGCAAGAAGGCGCAGCACGGCAGGCCACAGCTGCACGAGCGGATCACAGAGACAGGTGGCGACACGCCATTGGACCTGCTCGATCTCGCAGGCACGCGCAGGGCCCTCTCTGCGCCCCTGCTCAAGCCCACCCGCGGAACCCTTTCCTCTGGTGGTGGTGGTTCGAAGCGGCATCGTGATGGGGGTGCGGAGGGGGAGGGGGAGGATTCGGGATTCGAGTATACAGAGGATGGAAAGATAGTTGTTCCGGATGAGATCGAAGGGGGAGAGAGTGGTAGAGGGAGGAGGGGAGGAGTCAAGAAGGGGGTGGGGGCAGGTGGGGAGGATGACGGAGAGGGGAATCTGGATTATGGGGTAATGGAGGATGATGACGTGGCGATGGGTGATGCCAGCCTGGCATCTGCGAGGGCTGCTGAGCTGGCTTTTGGCCGGCGTGTCCGCGGGGCGCGAGGTGCAGGAGGAGGAGGAGGAGGAGAAGGGGGAGAAGAGAGAGGGGGTGCTGGTGCTGGTGGTGGTGGTGGGAGGAAAAAGGCCAAGGCCAATTCTGGCCAGGCCATTCCTTCTGGTAAGGATAAACGTGGCGGGAAGAAGCAGACTGGTAGTGGTAGTGGGTGGTCTTATACAGGGGATGAATATGCCGCAGGCAGCGGGCGGCGTGCGGGCGGCGATGTGAAGAAGGAAGGGAAGCTGGAGCCTCACGCATACTGGCCGTTGGATGCAAAGATGCTCAATCGGAGGGCTGGGAAGCTTGCAGCGGCACGGAGGGGAATGACCAGTGTGATGGGGGCGGGGGGGAAGAAGGGGGGAGGGGGATCGGGAGGGGGAGGAGGAACAGGAGGAGGGAAGGGTGGGGCGGGGAAGAAGCAGCACAAGGGGCACAAGGGGAAGGGGAAAGGAAAGGCGTAGGGTTAGAGGGAGTGAGCATGGATCCAAGGCCTTGAGCTTTGGCTGTGGCGTGGGCATGAGTGTGTGTGGGCTGTGTGGCACAGCCCACAGTCATCCCCGGCCAGTTTCATCCCTCTAGCCCCCCTGTGGCGGTTCACAACACAGCCGGCTGTGTCCTGCCGGCCCTCCTCGTAGGGCCACCTTCATGGATTCATACACCATTGTGTATGTGAAGTGGAAGTACCAGTAGTGCTGGTTGCTGGCTGGGTCTAGGATTCAGTCATGTTTTTAGTAGAAACATTGCATTGCAGTAGATTAGCCTGTCAAGGTTTTGGGGCAGGCTGAAAAGAACAGAAAAGGTTAAACTTGAGAGGGTACGTTTCAGTCTAGGTTGCAGTGTAATACGGTATGTTAAAGACCATAATAAGTGGTATGAAGAGTCCCAAATTTATGGCACACTAGAGCTTTTATGTGTTTAGTAACCATAAAAAATAGAGCACACTCGCTTTCAAAATTGATTTCATTTTCAAGAGAGTGCTATTGAGAGGGCATTTGCTGATTGGCCAGTGGGGTTCAGGTACCGTATGTTAGGGAGGTGACAGAAATTGGTCAGCATTCGGAATATCAATATATATGTATTTGTACAAATACAGGAAACGGAGTGACACATATGAAAACACATTAACACCATACCACTTACCGTACTGCCTTGGGCTTGGCACGTGATGGCTTCATACGTTGGTTTGCTAAAAAAGGTGGGCATTCAATGGGTGGGGGACAGGCCCTCAGATGTCAGCGAAAAAAGGCTGATTTAGGGTCTGGACGCTGATTTCACAGACATGTGGGCGATGTGCTGGCTGAAAGTTCAGTTTTTTTTTTTTATGTGTTGGCTGATTGTTCAGGTTTTTTTTTAATGTTTTGGCTGATTATCCAGCGTTTTTTTACAAGTGTTCGCTGATTTATCAGACTTGTAACGAGAGTGTAGGCTGAATTCACGCTATTACAGATTCGTGCAGGAGCCGTGAGTTTCGGCTGTCCAGGTTCATCGACCGTCAATCACGCAAAATTTGCCATGTACAGCGCCGACGCGGGGGGAAAACGAATTTCCGACTCGTCGTTTGCTTCGTTGTCACCGACAGAATGCTTAAATAGATGTGATTCGTTGGTAAACCAATCACATCCCTTATGCGCCAATCACCCGCCACCAGTGCAGCACAGGAACGCACCGCACGCACTCACGACAAGGACACCCACCTCACCCCATCTCACCCACCCCGAACCTGCATCTAAGTGCGTGCATGGTGCCCCCTCGTCGCGCCGCGTAGCTGATGGGTGGTGAGAATGAGAGGGCCTTCTTTTATGGCTCTCTCTTGATGACCCCACCGTACCCACCCCCTAGGCGAGCTGCACTGTCAATCCACGCCTCTCGCCCTGGTTTTCTCAAACCCTAGCTAGCAACGTTGGAGCTCGGCACGCTCTCCCCTTTCAGCCATGGCCGGCCTTGCAGAAGGCGTAGGTTGCGATGATGATGCAGGCAGCGATGATGAATTAGACGGCCTAGAGGAAGCCAGGACGGGGCTTGATATGCTCCTGCGCTCGCTTGCCCCTGGTGTCCTCGCTCCCAGGCTTCCTACTGCAAAGCCAGCACTAGTCGAGAGGGTGCACCGCGACCACCCACCGGTTTCTTCAAGCTCGGATTCCATCCGGGGTGAGCCTGCTGCGCCGGCTGCCGTCTCCGACACGGTGGTTCTCGACTCGCCAACAACAAAGTCCACTGGCCCGCGCAACTTCAAGCTCAAGCAGTCGACGCTGAGCTGGGCAAAACCTTCTTCGAGCACCGCCGTCGAGCAACCTGTCGCGAACAACACAACCCCTCTTCCATCCTTGGTCATAGACATTTCAGAGGCCATCGAGGCAGTCTATGCAGACGCTCTTTTGAAGTACAAAACCAAGTGGTCTGAGAGGTTCCCGTGGCTTGTGCTAACCAAATCTAAATCTGGTTTCCCTGCTTTTAAGTGCAGTGTCTGCACCAAGCATGCCGGAGTCAGGGGGCGATGTGGCCGGACAGGGCGAGGGGCGACCGACGTGCAGACGCAGGCGTTTCGCAAGCACGCCGGCACGACGAAACACAGGCTGGCGATGGAGAAGCAAGAGGCTCTGCTGAACGCGGCCTCAAAGCAGCCACGGATCGACCAACATCGAGCCGCCATCGATGCTGAGAAGAACCGCGTCGTGGCGTTGCTCGACTCCATGCTGTTCGTCAGTTCCTGCGATGCGCCAATGGGAACATGGGTGAAGCTGGTGCAGTACCTCGCGCGTAAGGGTGTCCAGGGCTACCCTAAGAAGGGATATGGCACCTACTACACAACGTGAGTAGTAGCCACATTTTTATTGCGTTGATGTTTTGATGTTCAACCCTAAACCCTCTTCTAATCTCTTGTCTTTGGTTTCCCTGCGTGTAGGTACGGCTTCGGTGAGCTCACGCAGGCCCTTGCTACCTGGCTACAGACAACTCAGCTGGAGCACATCCTGACAAGCCCTTTCATCGGCATCTGCATCGATGAAAGCACGGATCGACTCCGGGGGAAGCACATGATCTTGTATGCCTCGTTCATCCGCGACAACGTGCTCGTGACCGAGTTCATGCAGCTGATCACGGTGGAAAAGGCGGACGCTTCTTCACTTCTGAGCATCCTGCTTTCCCACTTGCAGTCCGTCGGTGTCGATCTACAGAGAATTTCTGGCATTAGCACCGACGGCGCAAGAGTGATGATGGGGTCTAAGGCCGGCCTGGTTGTCCGCCTGCGACAGAAGATTCCGCACCTTGTCTCCGTTCACTGCATCGCTCACAGGTAAGTGAGCTCTGCTGCTACGTTTCCAGCCCGTTACGCCATGTGGTTCGAGCTCATGTTTAATGTCTTGAGTTTGATGTTGTACTTGCAGGGAGGCACTTGCAGCGAAGGATGCAGCAGAGGAGCTCCCCGTCTTCGACATGGTCGACGATCTCATCCGGGCAGTGGCGGATTTGCTTGGTCGGTCGGGACCGCGCCACGCACGGTTCATGGACCTGCAGGAAGTCATCACCGAAACGAGCCTTGAAGTGCAAGGCATCCATTCCGTTCAGTGGTTGTCAAGGGGGGATGCCGTTCGTCGCCTTGTCGCTGTTTTGCCGGCAGTGATTGTGCTGCTGAAGGAGCTTAACAGCAAGATGTACAAACTGGCAAGCTCCTACCATTTTCACTTCTTCCTTTACTTCCTGGCTGATGTGCTTGAGCAGCTCAACATTTTGAACAAGACCTTCCAGCAGAAACAGGTGAGGTGGTGCGAATATAGCTACGCATGTCCCCACATTAACCCTTCTAACTGTGTCACTGTGTGCCTCTGTCTGTCCAGCTCGATCTGGTGTCTTTGCATGCGCAGATCAAGCGGACAACGCGTCACATCGAGAGCCGCTACGTGGACTGCGGCGATGACTTCGGCGGCGGCATGAGCCAGTGGCTGTCACCTTTCCTGCTGCGCCATGGCCCGGGGTGTAGCCGCGAAGTGAAGGTGGAAGGTGTCGACAGTGACGGCCGACCATCTTCTATCACGTTCACCCTTCACGACGAGCCCGTGGACTCGTACAGCGGCCCGGAGGACCACGACGGGTGCATCCAGTTGTGCACCGAGTTCGCAGAGAGGATCGTGGCGAACCTGGAGGGAAGGCTCGGTGATCTCGACTCCCTCTCTGGAGTCCGCCTGTTCACACCAGATGCATGGCCACAAAGCAAGTCTGAGCGGAACGCTCGTTGCCTGGAGTGGCTTCAGTCGCTGGTGACGATGTTCAAGGCTCAGGACCGTGAGGACATCTTGCCAGGTCTGTTGTGGCGCCTTTGTGAACCTTTGATATCGTATCCATGCTTGAAAATCCTTTGTGGTGCACCTGTTTGCTCATGTCATGTGCCTCATCTTAACCCTCCCTCCCTCCCACCAGGCATCAACAAGAGGCAGGCAGGCAAGGAGCTTCGCCTCTTCTGTTCAGTCCTTGCACGTGCCCCCAAGGAAGAGAGGGGCTTCCACAGCGGACTATCGGCGATCCTCAAGACGCCAGACTGGCGGGAGAGCTACCCCAATCTGGTGCAGCTCTGGGTGGCGGTGGCTGTGATTCCCCTCAGCACTGTGGAGTGCGAAAGGGGATTCACTCGGCAAAACGTGATCAAGACATGGCGGAGAGGGGGGATCAAGGACGCGAGGCTGGGGGACCTCATGTGTCTGTCCCTCATGCAGTACAAGCCCAACTACGATGAGGTAGTTGAGATCTGGCGGAGTTACAGAAAGCGCAAGCCTTTCAGCAATGCTCCCATTCGCACCCCAATCCCAGGCGAGAACAAGAAGGGCAAGCACGAGGAGGAGCCAGTAGATGTAGATGATGAGGAGGAGCCAGTAGATGTAGATGATGAGGAGGAGCCAGTAGGAGATGCAGGAGGTAGTTCTAGTGATGAAGATGAAATGAGCAGCTAGCTAATGTCATGTATGTGGTGTAGTGTTTCCCTGTTATGCCTGCTAAATTTAATGAAAAAAGTGCTCAACATGGATCAGCCAGAGTGTATTAAGTGAGGCTGATTAGTCAGCGTTTTTTTTTTTTATACTTGTCTGAACTTTCAGTTTTTTTTTTACAACCAACTCTGATTGATCAGCTTAACGTTGGCTGCTAAGGCTGACGTATCAGCCAAGCCAAAAACGAATCTGAGGCCCTGGTGGGGGAACTTGTTGGTGCTGATGGCAGGGCGTCGTTGATTGGGATAGAGTACGTGGCTAGTGGGGCATGGCTCATTAGGTGGCAGCAAAGGTGACGTCATGCTGTTGCCTTTGCCAGAGTACGTTAGGGAGGCATACTGGGAGGGAATTACAAAACAACAAAGATACCAACTACGGTAGGTCACATTGACTCCTCTCAAGGCACCACGCATATGGAGAATATGCAGAATAAACAGCTTCTACACTTGATAGTAAAGGAACGTCATGTTTGAATGTTCTGTTTTTTTTCATGTTCACTCTAACTCAACGTTGCACATAGCATTCCCTGCAGGCAGCGTACTATTAAACATATAGCCTTTCACTACACCAAGGATGAGCTTTTCGGTGTAGATAGTAGCAACGAAGTAGTCTGGATCAGGCACCATAACATCCAGAATCTGCTTGTACGTCGTTTGCCGATCTTCCGCAACCAAAGTACTGGCGCCAAGCAATGTGCCCGTGATTTCGTAGCGGTCACCACCCCCGTTGGCGAGCGTGCGTTTGGTCCACGTGGCTTTGCTAGAGACCAGACCAAATTCTGGGGCTTTTCTATAGTAATGATCAATCGTGATGCCACTGGGCTTGCCAGGATTGGTTAGAATCACAGCAACTTTGTAACGAATGTCGTAGTCGTTGGTTGTGGCGTTGCTGAGGGGGTGGCAAGGAGGGGCGAGGAGGGGCTAAGGGGGATATGGTGAGGGGAGGAGGGAGTGGAGCCTAGTGAGGGGAGGAGGAGACGATGGGAGAGTGATGGGGGGAGAGGGGTTGAGAAAGTGAGGGAAGGATGAGAGAGTGGGAGATTGAGGGGAGGAGAGGGAGAGGAATGTGTGAAGTTGAGGGAAAGGGAGGGGAGTGTGAGAGGGTGGGGGAGAATGGAGGGGAATGTGAGAGAGTGAAAGAGGGAGAGGTGTGTGAGTGAGAGTGTGAGAGGAAAAGGGAGAGGATAGTGAGAGAGTGAAGAGAGAGGGGAGGGGAGAGTGAGAGCGTGAGAGAAGGGAGGGTAGTGTGAGAGAGTAGAGGTGACAGTAGGTTGACAGACGAGAAGGGGTTCGGGAATGCAGGGGAGGCGAGAAAGATGACTTTTGAGTCGACTCAAAAGTCAACTCGTAGGTTGACAGACGAGAAGGGGTTCGGGAATGGAGGGGAGGCGAGAAAGATTCGCTTTATTTAGGAACTTACCGGAAGACGGCGAGGGAGACGCAGCCTTTTGCCTTGTAGTCAGGTTCCATCACCTCGTGAAGAGGGAAGGCACGGAGTCTCGCCTCCATCACCCCTGAACGAACGTGGGAGAGACAGTGAGAGATGGAAGGTGCGAGAGCGAGAAGGAGAGCAAGCCGCATAGGAGCAACGTGGGTACGCACATGGTGCTGCGGAGATAGTGGGTAAGAACTTCTTAAACATGTCTTGAAAACATAGAGAGCAAAAGGCGTCTCACCTACTAGTGGGAGCGGCTCGCTCTTAAACTGCCCCCTAGCTGCTCCCGCCGTGAAAGACCCCGTCGAGAATCCCCCATAGTAGCTGTTCGTCTTCGATTTCAAAAGATTCACCACGCTCTTAACGGACTTCCCAATCGACGCGTTCGGTATCCTACTCGCGTTAAGCCACGTCCCCTTAAAGGCATAGGTGTACATAGGCGGGGGTGGATTGTTCGTTTTGTCGATCGAAAGAAAGGGAGGCGGCAGACGAGTTTTATTCGTCCACTTGGCTTTGGCTCCGGCAATCTTGAGGACGATGGGTCCCGCCTTTCCCGCCGTGCCTAGCGCGACGAAGGCGGACGTCGGCGCGCCCGGTTCGGAGGTGGAAACGAGGGCATGGTAGAAGACATTAAATTCTCCGTCAAACCTGACGGATGCAGTCAAGGTTCGCGGAAGCAAGCGGACAAAGGGATGAATCGTGTGAGGATCGCAACGGGAGAAAAATAGGAGGAGATGGGCGAAAAACGAGGGGAACGCATTGAGGAGTGCAAGCTAAAAACGATATAATGAGCAGTAAGGTCTGGGCGAAAAACACGAAGGTCCTTTCTAGAGTGAAGGTTCAACCTACTAGGTTCAGGCGTCACACGAACAAATGTGGGGTACTGGCGGCAGTGGCTTACTCGAAGACGGCGAGGCAGATTCGACCAGTGGCGTTGATGTCGCCCGTCGACCCAACCACTTCGGATCCGTTCAGCCGCGCGGCGAGAATCGCTGCGCGGAAAAGGGGACGGGAGAGACGGAGCAACGCGGGGGAGAAAGGAGAGAAGAGGAGAGCGAAGAGGAGGGAAGGAGAAGTGGGTGGGGGGGAGAGGTGCTAAGTAAGGAGCCACTCCTCAAGAGTGTGAGGGGAGGAGAGGTGTTAAGTAAGGAGTAGAGAGCCAGAGAGGAGGGAAGGAAAGCAGGGGCTGCGTATCGCGTATCATGAAGCCTAGAAGTGGGCCTTTACAAGCGGCGGTGTGAAGCTTACTCAGCGTGACTCGTGATTTGGAAGGAACGTCCAGTCTTGGCGAGACTCGCGAAAGTCCCGCCGTTAGATTCGCAACACTCTTTCCGTTAGATTCGCGGAAGTCTCCATTACTTTGGCTCTCGGAAATTTGACTGGTGAGACTTCTCCTCATCTGGCAACGGGCACGGCGCGGCGCCGGTGGGTTTCCGTTTCTCCGAGCCAATGGGCTCCGTGTTGGATGTGAAGTCAGTCTAGGGCGCACTGCTGGGAGCCTTTGCGTCGTCCTTCACGGGCGATTCCGTCTGTAGCGTCGCTGCGCAGCATATCGAAGGAAAGTTCACATGGAATAAAGTTTTTGAGATACAGAAGTTCAATGAAGAAAAGGAACGGATGAGAAATGATGCATCTTGCTGAGATTGGTCCGTGATATTTCGGTGCTGAAATTGACTGCAGGACACGTCAATCGAATCGCGACTGTGGTACCATTGCGTGTGTCACTCACCGAAGCATGCGGTGACGAGCAGAAAAAGAAACGACAAGCCAAGGAATTGTTGGAGCGCCATTGCGAACGCAAACTTAACGCCGATAAACTCTAAAACAAGTCTTCTCGGGCAGAAACCAAACTTCAAGATAAACGAATGCTGTTTGCACGTGGATGGACGGAGCTAGCCCAGAAAGCCAAACACGAAATATACTAACGTGCTAGTAACACCGTCTCTAAATTCGCCAAGAATAAATCTGGAGCTTGGATTTGGGACTAAGCAGGAGGCGGATATCTTGACTGTGGTGGTTCCGAACAAACTCTTTCATTTAGGCTTTGATGACGATTGCTGACTTGTTCATGAGAGGAGGGGCACGGGTGGGTGCTTGATTTCGTGAATGAGGGACCGAGCTGTGCGTACACACATATGCTTGGAAACGAAGGCAGGAAGGTGTGGCCAACAGATGAACGAATTTTAGCATACGAATCTGTTCAGTCCGGCGTCGTTAGCTTTTATATCGTTTTAAAACGTTCTGACTCGATATTGTCCAGTCGCGTGGCGTGTGTCTTCCATAATTTGTGCGGTGCGAGAAATCAGGTGGGACATTCACAATATGTGACGCACTTGGCGGGGTACCTGGCGGGAAAGCTGGCGATGATGTTTGTCGAGGGTTGAAGAACTGTAGCCAGGCAACAAGGGCGAGTGAAAATCTTCAGGTGGTCGTGGTGCTGTACCCCTTGCGCCAAGTTCCCGTAGGAAAAAAATGGTGAATGCGAAAACTTTTCCCAATTCTGTACACTACACTGTATGTGACGTGTCCATCGCCGCAGAGCACGGAACCCGAGCCAGCTGACCCATTGGAGCATTTGCTCGTGTCGTGTGCTGTGCACAGGCACGATTGATGTGGGCTGGGCATGGGGCAATTGATGTCGTCAAGTCCGCGCAGGTGGCGCAGCAGGAAAAAGTCAGATAGCGTTCCTGAGATGGGCCCCACCAATCGCCATGGTCGGTGCAATAACATTGGCCAGCGTGGCAGAATTCGATTCTGGTCACACCCACCACAAGTGCCTGGCGACGGGAGTCGCCTAGGGCGAAAAACTTGAAAGATTTGGGCCAACCAATCAAATCATTTTGTATTTAACGTTCATGCGACAAATTTTAACAGCCAATTCTAACCAAGCCTCGCAAATGTGGTCCAATTCCAAACCAGTCACGACTGGGTTACGTGACAGTCAAAATAAACGGTCGTTCTGACTTTTGGTGTCAGCGAAGTTGACGGGCGGAAAAATCGCACGACCATCAGCTCCCAACTCATGCGACGTCTACATTCACCCCCCCGTTGCTGCCATGCCACAGGAACGTGCTCTGTGCACTGTAGCATGGTGAACTTTGGATGGGGCCCCAACTCAGGAACGCCATCTCAGTCCCCTGACCCTGTATAAGCATAAGCGCGTGTTTCATTATTAAAACACAAAAACGAATGGCGTATGAAGGTTCAAACTGTTGTGCTTAACCAGTATGGAATAGAGAAAGAATCATCAAGTGCCATGTGGAGAGTGAAACAAACAAATCTAATACTGTACCTGCATATAAAACACCTGACCCTGGCGTATTTAATCCATGAAATACAGGCAGTACAAGAATGACCAAATTCAACGCAAGGAGACCAAGTGAGCCAAGTGGGCCATGAGAGACACATTTCTCCAGTCACTAAGCTCTCTGGTGACTGGTTGTGAGCAGCAGAGGCAACCGGAATCATGGGGCTGGAATAGGTAGCCTTGGGGGGACATTAGGAAATTGAGGATGATAAGGGACAGGGACAGGCCAAGGCCACTGACCTGACAGAAAGGGCACGACTACGTTGCGAACAGGGTTGGGGGGGAAAGGGGGGGGTTCGGGGAGGGAGGTTGGGGGAGAGGAGAGGAGAGGTGAGAGAGGGCAAGGTCAGTCAAGCAGTCTGGGACAAGGGAGGGGACAGTCCAAGATCACTGAAGCAGGGGGAGAAAGGTCACACGGCATCTAAAGACAGCAGAGAAATCCCACTGGTTGTGAGCAACTAGAGCAGCTGGAATAATGGGGGCAGCACGGGAGACAGGGCAAGGCTGTTGAAGTGGTTTGGGCGGAATTGGGAACACGGCAGGAACAGATCGCGTGTTCCTGCTCAGCGCGCAAGGCCGCTGAAAGGAATGGACGCAACTGGCATATGAGGGGGAGGAGATGGAGGTAAGTGAGACGGGCAAGGGGAAGTGGGATGGGATGGGATACGTGAACAGAACCAGGGGAAGTGAGAAGGAAGAGAGAAGGGAAGGGGCGAGCGGAGCAGCGGGAGGACAGTGGCTGAGGACAACGGGAGGTCGGAGAGTGAGAGTGGAGATAGAGTAAGTGGACATGCCTAGGGAGCTGGTAAGTTGGGATGGGTGGATGATGATAATGGGGAATGCGGGGTGAGGGACGGGGGGGGGGGAGTGAGAGGTGAAAGATCGGGGGGGGAGTGAGAGGTGACAGACGGGGGGGGGAGTGAGAGGTGACAGACGGGGGGGGAGTGAGAGGTGACAGACGGGGGGGAGTGAGAGGTGACAGACGGGGGGGGAGTGAGAGGTGACAGACGGGGGGGGAGTGAGAGGTGACAGACGGGGGGGGGAGTGAGAGGTGACAGACGGGGGGGGAGTGAGAGGTGACAGACGGGGGGGAGTGAGAGGTGACAGACGGGGGGGGAGTGAGAGGTGACAGACGGGGGGGGAGTAAGAGGTGACAGACGGGGGGGGAGTGAGAGGTGACAGACGGGGGGGGAGTGAGAGGTGACAGACGGGGGGGGGGGGGGGGGAGAGGTGACAGACCGGGGAGGAGAGAGAGGTGAAATCGTTATGAGCAACGAGGGGCGGAATGATGGGTAATAGGAAGAGGGGAATGAGGGGTGAGCAGAAGAGGGGAACGCCTCAAAACACTTCTATCATCGGGTGCGTGAGGGGCCAGGGAAAGGGGGAATGTGGGGTGTGCAACGGGGGGAACGGGAGGGAATGAGGGGTGAATAACGGGGGAAATGGATGGTGAGCAGAAAGGGGGAAATGAAGGTGGTTGAGCGACGGGGGGGATGGGGGGTGAGCGATAGCGGAGAAATGAGGGTGAGTTAATGGGGAAAACAAGGGGTGAGTGAAAGGGGGGGAAATGAGAGGTGAGTAAAGCAGGGAAAGGAGAGGTGAGCGAAGGGGGGACGAGAGGGAAAGAGACAGGGAATGTGAGGTACTGGGGGCCGAGCGACGGAGGGAACTGAGGGGTGAGCGACGGGGGGAAACGAGTGGAGAGCGATGGGGGGAAACGAGTGGAGAGCGACGGGGGGAAACGAGTGGAGAGCGACGGGGGGAAACGAGGGGGTAACGACGAAGAATATGAGGTAAGCGAGAAGGGATGCGGGGTGAGCGAAAAGGAAATGCGAGGTAAGTGACGGGGGGAGCACATGGCTGATGCGCGACGAAGCGTAAACGACCGGAAAGCGCGAGATGCGGATGAGCACTGAGCGCAAGCGCAATGAGGGGTGGGCGCAACCGGCGCAATGAGAGGTCTTAGGATCGTAAACACCTTAGTCGGCAATAGTCTACTTGCTATTGCTTATCGTGTTCTCCACGATCTCACGAATCCAACGATATGCGCAGCTCTGCTTGAAGTTGTCAATACACACTTCAGCAATTTTCAGAATCTGATTGGTTTCAATGTTGTGATTTCCAGAATGAGTACAAGCAGTTTTATAGTCAAGCAAGACACAAAATGCGATTCGTAACTTCACTTGTTTCCCAAGTAACCGCGTGCGCCTCGTTTCACCCCGAGTCACATACGGAACCGAACCGAATTCACCGAACACTCCTCGAGTCCGATTCCAGCACCTTCTCGAACACGCCTCCAGCTCGAACCACAATTTCTCCCCGTCAATCTCATTCTCGATGCTTCTCTACTCTTCTCTCTCCATTTCTATAGTTTCTTCCTGATTTCTCTCCCGCTTCTCACGCCGTAGCTTCCATTCTTCACCGTAGGCCGATTTCCACCGTTTTAGATATAAAATCTCCCACGAGATCCATTCCGCCGTCATTCCGCATTTCGCCGTAGGTTCCGTGGTTCGTCGAACCAACCCTAACAAGAGGAAAATCGGAACGAGGGAGATTAGGAAATGGGGTGAGGGGTGAGCGGCGGGGGAAAAAGGGATGAGCGTGTGAGGGAGATCCGAACCCAAAAGCCCTCCTGCGGGCCTGATGCCGCGGAAGACATCCCTCCGAAACCCTAACTGCCTAGCAATATGGCGAAACATGAGGGCGTGGGCGGAGGGAGGGAGGGGAATCTGGCGAAAGGGGATGAACGTAGTCTGATCGTGCTCCTCCGAAATTACGGCGTAGAGACGTACGCCACGCGTGCGCGTCACTAGCGCGAATCATTGGAGACAGCGCGTGTCGCGGAAACATAGGGATGTGCGCGCTGTATATTGAGGTACGAAATTTCTCTTGTAACCGCTAACAACGCAATCCCTCAAGAATAGAGCTGCTTCGCGAAGGCTCGGTTGTACGAAATCGGCAACAAACTAATCGCAATTTAATAATCAGTAAGCAGCACCTGGCAGATACTTCCTACCTTTCACAACGCCACTACTCGCTGAGGCGGAACGCTCTATGACATATGGCGGAACTGGCTAACTACGATCAACGAGAGGAAGATGATACAACAAAGTTGCTTGGGAATCGAGCAAGCGAGGCACAAAGGCAACAACGAGATCTGAGCAGGTGGTGGTGTACCAACCAACCGAAACACTATCTCCCCTCTGCCCGAATTTTCTTTCTCTCGGATTTCGACCCTTCCCATCTCCGTTCCTGATTGGGTCTCGAAGATTTTGTTCATCCCAACCCCTTCCTTCCGTTGCCCGAATCTTGATTTGACACCGCCACAACTTCTCACCGCCAAAATTTAACAGTGAGTGGTACAGTAGCAAGCGATTCGGGCCAGGGATTCCCACCCTCGCTGCAAGTTGCGTCCCTTCATATTCAGTTTTGTTTCATTCTCAACTTAGAAGACTCGAAGACCACTGTAAACGGAGCACAACAGGCGCCGTCCTGACCAGAGGGGTTTCCACATCGTGTCTTTCAGGCTACAGAAGAACGCGCGCGCGTGAAGAGAAGACAAAGGCATGAGGCGTTTCCCTCGTGCCTTTCAGGCGCTCTAAGACCAGAAGAGATCTCTTCGAAGAGAAGACAGAGGCGTGTTTCCCTTGTGCCTTTCAGGCAAGCTAAGACCATAAGAGAAGAGAAGGCAGAGGCGTTTTCCCTCGTGCCTTTCAGGTACACAAGGAGCCGCGGCAGTCCCTATCACTTTCCTATCTCCTATGTTTCTTCTCCTCCCCCCTCAGATCACGGGAGGAGGAGCACCACGGTAGTTCTTCTGCCCAATAAAGGTGCTCTCTTCCTCCTTTTCTTTCAGCCTTTTTTTGTTGTTGTTGTTGTTGTTTCTGTCTTGTTGTTCTTTATATTTCTGTTTTCAACTAACTTTCTTATGGTCTTTTTCTTCTACGCTGCAGGTTTAGCATGGAGCCGCGGAGGAAGCTATCACCCTCCCCTTCTGTCTCTTTCTTCTCCTCCCCCTTCAGATCACGGGAGGAGGAGCACCACGGTAGTTCTTCTCCGCCAATAAAGGTGCTCTCTTCCTCCTTTGCTTTCTGTTGTAGAGGACTCTCCTCTACTTTGCAGGAACTGGGAATTGTTCTAACATCACCAAAATGGAATGTCCCGAAACTGTCCCAAAATATTCTTTTCGAATACTTTCGGGACAGGTTGAAAAGTGTCTCGAAAGACACTTTCGAGACTAAGTGAAATGTCCTGAAAGTGGATCGCCCAACTGACCCGAAAGTGTCTTTCGAGACACTTTTGGGACACATTCGAGACC